CTTTTATCCTCTCTCTCCTGCTCTTCCGGCCTGCTACTCTGGGCATCCCTGCATTGTCTCTCCTCACCTGTAACCCTGGGGCTGACTGCTCTTCTGTCCGGGTTCAAGGCTTTTATCCCCTTTCTCCTGCTCTTCCGGCCTGCTACTCTTGTACTTTATGGTATTTGAAATCATTGTAGGAACATATAGAACAGAGGCCATATCAGTGTAGGGTGTGTCCTGAACTTAACTTTTGAGATATGAAAAGAGCAAATTAGGTGCAGAGAAGCAAGCACGAATGGGGAAAGCTGTTTGCCACGTGAGAGCTCTGAGAAACACTGAGAAGGGAGCGCTAGACAAACTGAGGCAAGGATCTTCCCCCAGAGAGGACAGAGGGAGCCCTCCCCTAGAGCTGGGGCCCTGAATGTGGGCTTCTCGCCTCCTGAACTGAGAGAAAGTCACTTTCTGTTCTTGAAAGCACCCACTTGTGGTATTTGTGTTACAACAGTACTAGGAAATCAAGGCTCTGTTCAGCTGGGCCCCTTGTTTGCTCTAGCAGGTTGGTGGGCTAGTAAGTTGTGTGTAACAAGGGAAAGACGAATGAGAGGCTTGGAGAAGTAACTAGGTCTCTGATACACTTCTCAGACATGGAAGACACAGCACACCATAATGCAAGGCCACAGAGAGGGTTGCACCAGGTAACAAGGTAACAGCCAGCTGGGATTATAGGAGAGGCCTTTTGGTAGGAGCTCTGGTAGCATAGTGTCTAAGGCACTTGACTGCTAACCAGAAGGCTGACGGTTTAAACCAACCAGCCAATCCTCGGAAGGAAGGTTGGGCAATCTACTTCCATAGTGATATTGCCTTGGGAACCCAAGGAGGGGTCACTGTGAGTCGGTCCGACTCGATGGCACACAACAACAACAGCAATTATGTATGGCAAGCACGGTGGGCTAGCTAGGTTTTGTGGGCTTCCCAGGGGCTGGGCATTTTGAATAATTCTGCAAGTTCCAGGGACATACATGTTGTCCTTAGTTCTTGGGTACCTGGTCCTATGGCAATTAGGATGGGTGCATAATGGCCCAGGAGTGAGAACTTGATAAGTGGTTAGAGAGAGCGTTTACTCAGCTGCTCAAGATGGGAACTGACAAGCCTCCATCCAGGGCCTTAAGATAGATAGATAGATGGATAGATAGATTTAAAAAATCTCCTCAAGACAGCTTTTAAAGAAATAGTATTGTAGTATGGCCTCTAAGTCCAGGGTCTCAGAGGCTTCTCACTGTTCCTTGCAGCTCTCAGTTCTGGGTTGATGTGTTTTCCAGTTCACACAGTCTGGCTGAATCTCTGGCATTCCTAGCATAACCCAGGCTCACCGTAGGCCGCGGCACCAAGAATGAAACACCAGGCATCGCTGACCCCTTGCATTCTTCCATTCACCCATCTGTCATTTTAGCACTATTTATTGAGTGCCTGCTAGCAGGCATTGCGGGCACAACTGTCATCAAGTAGACCCAGTGCCCACCACTTGCAGAACACCAACTATCTACCCATAATGCCAGATCATAAGGGAAGGAAGATGAAGGGGCCACTGGTGACGTGGTAGTATGTCATCTCTCCATTTTCTACCTGAAATGTGACTTTCTGGGGCTTCCACCTCAGTGATCCTTTGGTTGTCCGGAGCTTCCCATTTACTTGTTTGTTTTCCTAGAACTGCAATAACAAATTACCACAAGTGTGGTTCAGAAGAGAAATTTAAAACAACAGAAATTTATTTATTCTCTCCCAGCTCTGGAGGCTAGAAGTCCAAAATCAAGGAGTCCAAGGACCATCTCCCCCAAAAAATTCCAGCTTCTGTTGGCTTTCACAGTCTGCATTTCTTGGCTTGGAGCTGCATCACTCTGGTTTTCGTCTGTGGTCATATGCCCTTCTTCCATGTGTGTCTCCTTTGTGTTTCTGTACTCGAGTTTCCCTTTCCTTTCTATTACAGAGACACCAGTCATTGGATAGGGCTCACCCTAATCCAGTATGACTTCATCTTAACCTGATTAGATCTGCAATGATCGTTGTTCCAAATGAAGCACATTCACAGGTACCTGGAGTTAGGACTTGAACGTATCTATTTTGGGGACACGACTCAACCCACTGTATTTTCTTTAAATAAAGGGACTTCACCAGGTCTTTTTCCTGTTTCTTTTTCTCTTTGCATGGACAGAAATACTGGAGGAGCCCAAGGACTTTTCTTGTGAAACCCGGGACTTGAAGACTTTGAACTGTACTTGGGATTCTGGGGATGACACTGGTTTACAAATACAGTCTTCCCAAAGCTACACTTTATTTGAATCGTAAGTTAGCTCTGGTGACATCATTGACAGATTTTAAATCTTCATTGTTTAAGATATTTGTGACAACATAACAACAGCTGCTTTTTCATGTTGCAGAAAATTTGCAAATATATAAAAATTCACCCTTCCATTGTCAGGAGGAAATCTTCAGTTGGTCACAAGTTTACAATACCTTCTACTTGAGTTTTGTTAAAGGAAAATGTGGCATAAAAAGTGCTAAGAAAAGTAGTTAATGGTGAATTGTGATGTGAAATATTTCCATCACATGATTTGGGTCTACCAAATTTCTGACTTTTAAAGAATGTTTAAATTTGAGGGTGTTCCCATTATCTATGAGTAGGAGTGGTAATTTACATATCATATAATATATACATATATATATATATATATATACACACACACACATATCATATATATATATACACACACACGTATCATATATATATATATATACACACACACACACACACATACATACACACACATATATAGGAGCTCTGGTAGCATAGTGCCTAAGGCACTTGACTGCTAACCAGAAGGCTGGTGGTTCAAATCCTCAGAAGGAAGATTGGGCAATCTACTTCCGTAGTGATACTGCTGTGGAAACCCAAGGAGGGGTTGCTGAGTTGGGGTCGACTTGACGGCACATAACAACAACAACAAATATATATATATCTCCTTGGAAAGAAGGTTGGGCAATCTACTCCCGTAGTGATACCACCTCGGAAACTCGAGGGGTCACTATGAGTTGGGTCTGACTCGACAGCACATAACAACATACATACACATATATATACATATATATGTGTGTGTATGTGTGTGTATTCATAATTTACATATTTAGCCACAAAAATAAAATTTCTTGAAACAATATTTTTCTTGTTGGTAGTTTTGGTGGTGGCTCTACACTGTTGTATGGGACATGGATTGAAAGTCACTGAGGATGCCCTGAGGCTAAGGGCATGCATCTGCTTTGACAAAAGTAGACTGTATAATTGTTTGTTTATCTGCTTAAAGATTTTCCCAGAAAAAGAAAGTTTGTAAACACAAAAACTGGTGCACTTGGCAAGTAACTCAAGACTCTCAAGGAATGTATAACTTTACACTCATGGCTGAAAACTACTTAAGAAAGAGAAGTGTCACTCTTGTTTTTCAACTGACTCATCAAGGTGAGACTAGAGTTGTCATAGCCTCTGGTGGCTACTAACACATCATTGTTTGATAAATTGTGTGACCAAGTAAATGTGCTGTAGGATTTTTTTTTTTTAAATCCATGGTATAAGAGAAAGCTATGGTTTAAGGTTTGGATAAAATTAATTAATATCTCTTGCTATGCCATACTTCTTATAGATGCCCAAAATATATTTCTTTGCATTTATCCTGTTTGGGATTTTATCTAGAATGTCTTGAATCTGTAGATTTTTGCCTCTCATCAAATTTAGTAAATTTCTTATTTATTTATTTTTTTTAGCACCACACTTTTTCTCCTCTTTCTAGGTGACACAAATGTTAGAGCATTTGTTACTGTCCCACGTCTCTCTGAGGCTTTGTTCATTTCAAAAGATTTTTTTTCCTCTTTGTCCAGATTGGATAATTTCTACTGATCTCTCCTCAAGTTCACCGACTGCTCTGTCATCTCTATCCTGCTATTGATTCTTGTAAGGATTCTGTTATAATCCTCCTCCTAAGGGTCAAAGCTTTTTCACGTTTTGACTCCCCTCCACCATCAGCCTGCTTTTGTTTAATTTTAAGAGCCCTCAAGAAGTTGCTATTTTATATTCTGTTCAGAATTTCTATAATTAGTGAGAGAGATGGGCTGCGGTTGGATTACTCCATCTTGGCTGTAAACCTGGTTTTGTTTCTCAAATATATACAAAAAATAATAATTTTGAATAAATACATGAATAAGTGAACTTCTTACTAACCAAAGTCTTTTTGGATATGTGCTTGAATTTTCCTTTCTTTTTTTTTTGGCAGTTCATCCAATGAGGCCCCATTATTTCTCTGTTGAAAATATAAATTCCACAAATGCCACTGTGACCTGGAAGGTCCACCCCATTGGGAATAATTCCACATTTTTGTGTCAGGTTGAACTACATCATGAGGGACAAGTGATACAAGTAAGAACTTAAATTTCCTAATTTCAAAAATCCATTATGTTTGCAACAGAGAGACTTGTGGAAAATATTTCTTTAAATTCTTATTTCGGAATGAGTTTATATGGTGTGAGTCCATGAAATTAATCATAGACTTTTAGAGTTGGTAAAAGGGTCTTAGAGATTTATGTTATTTCCAAAAAAGAATTAGTCTTAATTCAAATTAGGATTTGCTGTTGTCCTGATTGGTTTTACAATGAGGTATGCTCACTAATTCCTTTTTTTAAAAAAATATTAATTCATTTTTTGTTGTTTTGTTGAAAATATACGTAACAGAACATACACCATTCAGTGATTTCTAAATGTACAATTCAGTGACACTGAGTTAGTTCTTCAAGTTGTGCAACCATTCTCACCTCCTTTTCTGCACTGTTCCTCTTCCGGTAACATAAACTCACTGGTCCCTAACTTCCTATCTAACTTTTCAAGTTGCCAATGTTAATTTGATCATCCTGATACTACAGTGGTTAAGTGCACAGCTTCTTACTGGTTGGTTGGCAGTTTGAACCCAGCAGCCACTCTGTGGGAGAAAAGACGGGTAGATCTGCTCCTATAAAGATTGTTGTTATGTGCCGTCAAGTTGGACCCGACTCATAGCGACCCCTCCTTGGGTTTCCGAGGCAGTATCACTATGGAAGTAGATTGCCCAACCTTCCTTCCAAGGAGTGGCTGGTGGGTTTGAACGACTTCTGGTTAGCAGTCAAGTACCTTAGACACTACGCCGCCAGAGCTTCTGCTGTGAAGATTACAGCCTAGGAAACCTGTGGGGCAGTTCAACTCTGTCCTACAAAGTCACTATGAGTCAGAATCACCTAAAGGGTAAACAATACAACAATAAGATAATTCTTGCTCAAGGCAGACATTCTTTACTACTTAAGCTAAACAATTAGGTTTAAAGAACCCTTCCGGGAATATTTTGGTTTGAAGTTTAAAGATTACCACAAGGCAGTGGTTTGGGGACTTTACTTAGCCTCAATAGCTCAGGAAAGTCTGGATTCCATGAGAATTTGAAATTCTATACCTCATTTATTCCCCTTTGGAGCAGGATTTTTCCATAGAATCTTTGATCAAAACTTTCAGTAATGGTGTCAGTAACGGCACCAGTTCTGATCTCATGGCAATGCAGACAGTTATCCTGGAGGCAATTTGTCACTCATTCCTTTTCCTGCTCCTGTTCCTGTTGCGCCTTCCTCTGTTGCTCCAGGCAAATAGAGACTCACTTTTGTTACTGAAACTCACCAATTCTTTTGTTTTCCTCTTTGTCTTTTCTTCTTCTTCTTCTTTCGGACCAAGCAGCAGAAAAATGTTTCGATCAAGGTGCATGGTGAATGCCTTCTAAGTGAAATGGAGCCTGACACACATTATTTTGCCCGGGTACGCTGTGCTTATGGCAGCCACTTCTGGAAATGGAGTGAATGGATTGGTCAGAAATTCACCACACTCGAAGCTGGTATGTTCAGCTCCCTGGCATTTAACCCAAGGATCTAAGCTGACTTACACGGGATGGGTTGGCATCTCTGAGAGCTTTTGGCAATACCAAAAACTGAGGGGAAAGAATTAAAACAGAGATTGGGTGGGAATCATCTTTTAAGAAAAAGAAAAATCTGGATTAAATACCTAATGTCATGTGAATGGGCAGACATCCACTTCAGATATTAGATGTCAGTTATTTCTACTGTACTTTTTCTTTCTGACCTATAAGTTGCCAAAATGGTTTCTAAGCTAGTGTTAGTGTTGGATTCACATTGATCTGGGACTATGTAAATTAGCATAGACTTAATTCATGGCTAGTGACAAATAGAAGTGGTAATGCCAAGGAAAGCATTGGTCTCATAGTATGAAATACAGGCTGGGTTTGGAATTATAATGATAGTTGGAAACAGACTATGAGCCCTCTCCAGCATGCTCTCATATTGACTGAACAGAGACTTTTCCTTCCAAATTACTGTGTCTCAGATCTCCAATAGGTATCAGGAAATTAAATTAACAAGCTCTGCATCCTTATCCTCCAACTGATCATAAGGTATTATAATTACCTAATTTATAGAGATGGCAAGTTGGACCTGTGGATTGAAGAGATTTGACCAGTTTGCAAAGTTAATAAATGACAGAGAAATAATACTGCTACTTATAATCACAATAATAATTAGTATTATAGCTAAAACCAAAAAAAAAAAAAAAAACCCACTACCATTGAGTCGACACTGATTCATAGGACCATACAGGACAGAGCAAAACTGCTCCATAGTGTTTTCCAAGGCTGTGATCGTTCCAGAAGCAGCCTGCCTCATCTTTCTCCCACAGAGCAGCTGGTGGGTTCAAAGAGCTGACATTTTGGGTAGCAGCCAAGTGCCTTCACCACACCATCACTGAGCTCCTTATTATAGTGAGCAGATAGTATTTATTGAGTGTTTAGAAGGCATCAGGCATAACTTTATGTGCTGCCTGTGTTTTTCTCCTTTACTTCTTAACACATGCAGTAGATACTATTACTATATTCCTTTTATACATGAGAACATTGAGGCACATTGAGGTCAAATCATTAAACTGGCCTAGCCACTGGTGATGCAGTGGTTAAGCACTTGACTGCTAACTGTTAAGTTAGCAGTCTGAAACCATGAGCCACTCTAAAGGAGAAAGATGTGGCAGTCTGCTTCTGTAAAGATTTATAACCTTGGAAACTCTATGGGGCAGTTCTGTGTGTCCTATAGGGTCACTGTGAGTCACAATCAACTCCATGGCAGTGGGTACCAGTAAGAGACTGAGCTGGGACTTACACCTAGGCAGTCTGACTCTAGAGCTCCACCCTTAACCAGAACTACATACTATTTTTTTTACAACTTTGTGTGAGCTTGTTTGACTTGCAACCATCCCCATATGGTGAATGTAGCACCAAGGGAAGAGTTACATGTATTTATTTTATTCTATCTTATTATTCATGTTTGCAGACTGACAGAACCCTTTCTCCTTCATCTTCAGAGGACCATTTTAAAGGAATGATTATAATTGGGGGATAATAAAATACAAACCAAACTCCCTGCCATTGAGTCGATTCCAACTCACAGTGACCCCATTTGGGTTTCTGAGGTGGTAAATCTTTACGGAAGTAGATTGCCCAATCTTCCTTCTGCAGAGTGGCTGATGGGTTTGAACTGCCAGCCTTCTGGTTAGTAGTCAAATGCCTTAGGCAGTACACCACCAGAGCTCCTTTCAATTGTGGGGTGGTTAGGCAGTAATCAGAATGAACACATGAGGATGGTTGCAGGTCAAACTCAACCACCCTCCTTTGCTCCCCTGATAGTTACTGTCCACCTTCAGACCCTCCAATACTTCAATAATATGTAGTAGGGATGACCATTCCAGAATCTCTGCTGTGGAAAGTTGTATTCCTGATAGGAATGTGGTGCAGTCTAACTTTTATTAAATTTTAACTTAAATAACACTGTTTAGCATTAGTGTTTTTTGTTTTTGCATATTTATTTCAACATTATAACTTCAATGAAGTGTAAAAAGAAAATGGCAAAAGACTAGAGTTTTTAGTAAATTTTGTTTCTTTATCTTATGGTGTAATGAGCTTGAAAATCCTTGACTTTGCTTCTTAAAATGACAAAAAAAAAAAGCAAGAAGAAAAAGTATTTCTACTTCTGATAATATTTTGCTTAATGCTTGGAAGCTCAGTATTTATGTGTATTATAATCATACTTAGAAGCCCTGATGGTACAATGGTTAAAGCACCAAAAGGCTGGCGTTTTGAACCCAGCAACTGCTCTCTGCAGGAGAAAAAGACTTGGTGATCTGGTGTAATTCCTAGATTACAGTCTAGGAAATGCTATGGGGCAGACCTACTATGTCCTGTAGGGTTGCTATGAGTTGCAATCAACTCCACGGCACAGAACAGCAATATACTCATAGTTAAGTATATTCATAGTGACCAGACATTGAGCTAAATGACACCATAGTAGAAATTATATGGTATGCATTGCATTCAGCTGTATAGCAGTATACTTGTTAAAAGTAGTAATTTAAAAGTCAGTTCAAGATTTTGCATTGAACTTGGAGTCTAATATTAGCTTCAGTGTTCAACAAATGTTTGATTTAATATGGATTCTCCAATAGCTTAATTGCTTATCAAACTGAAATCTGCCTGAATAGATTTAAATCAAATGTAAAATGCTAACAACTAAAATTAACTTAAATATTAGTTACTGGAGACAATAAACTAAATATTAAGAAAACAGGGAGATGAATCTTTATTACATTCCCAAAAAAATTCTTATTTTATAGATAATGTTTTGAATCAAACCTAAATCAGTAGTCTTCTCAAAAAACTAAATAAATAAACATAGAAAAATTACTTTCCAATATTGGAAACAAGGTGAAACACAGACAACAACTTTATTAATATTTTGCAAATTTTATGATAGAAGCTACTTAACACTTCATGTTTAGTAGCCAAACATTCTAAACCATTTAAGAAGGAGAATTTATCCTAAAAAATAAAAGTCGACTTGAGTTCCAGTAAGATGGCGGACTAGGCAGAAAGACTGCACAGACCCTTTTCCACAAAGACAAGGGAAACCAATTAACACAGACACAGAAGATAATTGTGGACCCCTGAGCCTTGAAGGTAAGATGTAGAAATGGACTAAACCCCAACTAACAGAAGAATTTGCGTGAAAATACCAAAAAAGGAGACATACGGAGCTGCAGTCTGGCAGTGATCCTGAGTGATCCTAACGGCACAGACAGCTTTGGAGATTCCCTAGTGGTGGTGGGACCTAAGAATTAACCTAAAAATCACTCCTGCGAGCCAGAGACTGCACGGAGGACTGTGCACGGTGGCTGGGGAATAAACGGAGAAGGTGAAGAGAAAGGCGGCTGAGCTGTGGACTTTTGCCAGTCCGGAGGGTGCCGCCATTTTGAATGTTACAAGCAGCTTGACCATTTTGGATATTTAAAGAGACAGTGCTCTCCGAGATTCCAGGGGCTTAAGAAGAGGTTCGGCTTTCCAACAACCCCAAGGACACTTCAGACTTGCAAGAGTGAAAAGGTACGACATTCCTCTTGTTACTCTTATACCCCACACCTGCTTGGGAAATGGAGGTACAGCCATCCCCCGCTCCCACCCACCTTCTGGGCCCATAAGAACTCCATCACAGTCTGTGTGCTCAGGCAGAAGCTGGGTGCCCTGCCAGATTTTTTTTCTTCTTCTTTTTTTTTTTTCTTTTTCATTTTTTTTTTTCTGGTGATTAGTTGCTTGTATTTATCTGTTTTAAAACAATTAATTGTATTAATACTTTTGTCATTTTACTATTAATCTTACTCTTCCCCTTCCAGGTCCTAGTTTTCAGCTTTTTTTCTTTTCCCTGTTCCTGGTTGAAAATTTTATTATTACTGTTTTTTTCAATTTAATTTTTTTTCTTTTTTCCCCTTTTTTCTCAAGGTTAACCCCATCCTTGTTTTTCTTTTTGCATTTTCCCCATTTCTTTTCTTCATTATTTTCTTCTCTACCTTTTTTCTCTTAGTGCCCTATTCCTAGATATTGCAGGTTTTCTTG